TTTGCATTTATTCTCACTTAATGTGCTTTAAATATATGGCATATTGTGAGGGAGATCCAGAGTTTATAGATTCTAACCACGACTTTGAGTCTGAACAAGACGACATCGATTATGATAGAAATGTGACCGATGAAATTGCAATTGGATTGGACGGCCGTCAAGGTAAAGTTTAGGAGGAACGAGAAGAAAGCAATGATATTGAGGTGGATGGATTGGAACTATCATCTTCAAAGGAACTATTGTCCCAATGTTCATCCGATGAGGCTAATGTAATTTCTTTCTTGAATTTTCTTTCGATTTAGACATAAATAATCCGTAGTTTGAGGTCGGGCAAATTTTTAGTTTCGCATCAAAGTTTTGAGAGGCGGTTAGAATGTATGATGCATTGAATGGGTACAACATAAAGTTTGAGGCTAATGAGGAGAGAAGAGTACATTGAATATGCAAACTGTGCTGCAAATGGAGAATCTAGGCTTCTAAAGTAGAAGCATGCGAGAGGTTGCAAGTAAAATCGTACACTTCAGAGCACACTTATAGTCGGGAGATATTTTTGACACATCGATATATTGATCAGTTGAAGACGAACCCAAATTGAAAGACCGAGCTTATTTTGGCAACGGTGAAGAAGGATCCGTACCATGGAAGATGCGGAGATATGCCAAAGAAGTTTTGGTAGGGACTTTACGAGAGCAGTTTATGTGATTGCAATCTTAAGCAATTGAGGTTACATACAAATGTTAGCTTGATTGTCATTATAGGCGTTGCAGAGAAGTTTTTCAAGGGATCTACATTTGCTTCAATTGTTATAAGATTGGTTGTAGGATGGTAGTTGGTATTGACGATTGTCACTTAAGGGGTTGTTTTGAAGAGATAATGTTACTACAGTTGGTTTTGACACTAATGACTGCATCTATCCCGTTGTGTATCTAGTTGTTCAAAAAGAAAATACTTTAGCTTAGCGATGGTTTCTGAACTATCTATCAGAGGATATTGGGATTGGAGATGGGAGAGAGGTTGGACTTTGATGACGGACAGGCAGAAAGGTCTACAAAATGTGACAGACGGGTTGTTTCTTAAGACCGAGCGTAGATTCTATGTACAACATATGTACTCGAACTTTTTCAATGCCAGGTTCAAGAGCAAAAGTTCTTAAGAATTACTTGTGGCATCCTACCAAGTTGACCACCGTTGCTGAATACAGACTTTGGATGTAACAAATTTGTTAACTGAGCAAGGAGGCATACAACTGGCTTATGAAGAGACACTCGCAAGAATGTAGTAGATCGCATTTCTCTGTTCAACTGAAGAGCGACATTTTACTGAATAATTTATGCGAATTGTTTAATAAGACTTTGCGGAGTAATATGGAGAAGATGATTCTGATGATAGTTATTTAACTTCAATTAACTTTCGTTACTAGGATTCAAAAACGTAGACAAACGACGATGAGGTGTATGGGACGACTGTGTCCAAATATCAAGAAAAAATTACATAAGATTACTATGAGATCTCGTGAATGCACATTGCACTTGTCTATTAGGCCGAAATGCCAATTTGATTGCAGCTTCGGGACATATGTTGTTGACCTACAGGAAAGAACTTGTGCATGCAGAGAATGGGAGCTTACAGGCATACCGTGTATGCTGTGTCAGCTACTAAGGAATGCATAAATGATCTAGAAGACTTCGTTGATAACTGCTACACGATTGAGATGCATATAAGGTTCTACAGTAGTATCTTGAACCCAATTAACGGCATGAGCTTATGGCCACAATTGGATATGTCTGATACAACAAATGATATCACTCGAGGTCGGATGCACCACAAGATGTGAGTACAAGCTTAGAATAATTTTTCCTAACTGCATTAAAATTATTCACTGAATGCACTACAATAATTCATTACTCCCTGCATTTTATATGTACACACAATACTAAGATCCTTAGAGTGCAATATTCTAATGAATCTGTCTTGCTAATAGGTTTGTTTTGAAGGAGATTTGGAACCAGTTGGCACACATTGCAACGCAGTAGTTGACCAATGAGTAAGTACACGTCAATTAAATGTTTTTCTACTTCGCGATATTGGTTTGAAAGTGTGACTAATTATTCAATTTGGTTTATGCAACAGCGCAAAATAGTTACAAAATAAGGAAAGGGGGCTTCGTCACACCAAAATGCTGAGGAAAATCAATCTTCCCAATTCATGCCAACCCCCATGGTAGCACGTGCAGCGCGGTCAAGATGTATTCTAAACAGAGCAGCAACTATTCGCACATAGTCGGTTGCATCTCATGTTTTGACCAATGAAGTCAACTTCGATGAAATAGTGGATGAATTGCATGACATAGATGAAGGGGAGTTTGCTATCTTGAGATCGGCAAGGCCACAACCGTGATGACTTGCAAAGCAGTCAACAACATTAGGTTCTGGCGTTGAAGGGGATAACACACAGCAGTACTAGATATGCAGTATTTTTGTTTTTTGTTTTTATTTTTGTTGATGTATGCTGGAATGTAAGTGCTGACCAGTTATCGTCATTTTTTGTAGAAACTCGTCCTAGACAGTTACGGATGGTGTATGGGTAAATATGCTTTGAGGTTGCTGTTGTAGTTTGTGTTTGTATCATTCTGGAAACTAATGTAAATGGAAAATTGTTGTGTATGTATGTCTGGAAATTCTATGGAATTTAAGGTAATACTTTTACTGCTATTATGGAAATTCTGGATAATTTATGGGAATTGTTGTTGAGGTTAATGCTCTGCTCTTGTTGGACAGTGTTACCATGGCAGAGTTGGGCAAAGATGGCTGAATTTGGAAATGGAACACAAGACCGTATCTACCATTCGAAGATTTGGTATCTAGTTGGCTGCACTTTGGATCTTTACTATGATCTTTTTCTTTCTGTGTTGACATTGGTTTAGCAAATGCAGCACCCTTTAGCGAATCAGATTGAATTATACATTGAAAATTTCTGCTAATTTGATTGTTTTGGGTTAGATATATGAGCTCAATCATAGATTTTGAAGATGATAGTATGGGTGCTTGCTAATTACCTTCAGTCCCCTTTGTCTCGTTTCAGTGGGCTACAAACCAACACCAGTTAATTTCATAGCTAACTCTTTTGGCGTCTTAATTTTTTTTCATTGGGTGTACATATCATTGCCATAATATTATCGATTACAATACAAGTAGTAGTGCATGTAAATATCGTTTTAATTAAACAAAAACAATTCACTCGAATAACACTACACGATTACATAAACACAATGTTCAAACTTCCTAAAAAATACATATGGAGTCATGCTTGAATGACACTTCACGATTACAAGAAGATTCTTAGACCATGTACATTACAATAACACTTTTTAAGCAATAACATAAGCAGTACAATTTCATGGAGCTCTCTCCTTTTGTTTCCTGTTCTCGTCTAAATCTCATTTTCCCTTTCAGGGAGCTCTCTCCTTTTGTTTCTTGTTCTCATCTAAATCTCATTTTCCCTTCAAGATGGTAATATTCAAGGTGATCTCCACGTCCTCTTGTTTGGATATTTTAGCAACATTCTTCAACATACGTGACAAGTCTTCCATTGGATCGTTACCCGAACAAATACATCTTGCTGTACCACTAGACTCGTCCTCAAAATGCACATGTTTCTCTTCGTCGTAAGTAACATAGCCCCACTCAAAATGCCCACTATGGTTAGTACAACAGAAGAATAGCCTAACTATATTCAGTCTTCTTTTCAACCTCCATCCATTTCACAAATCCCTTTTCGCATCCTGGGCATCGTTGCTTCGTCTGGCATTCCGACAGGTAGTGCCTCGGCTTCAACCATCACAAATGCCCTTATTCTTCCCACCCATTTAAAAATGCTATTGCAGTCACGAATTCTGGAAGTGAGCAAAGCTTAACATTCAAGTAAGCACCAACTCAACCAATATATAAACCACTATCTTTCAATTTGTGCAACATAAGCCTACATTTCTCAATGACAACAAATCTTGAATAAACCCAGAGAACATGACTTTTAACATGAACAAATTCATAAATAACATATTCGAACTGGTGTCCAAATTGTGTAATTATCAACTATTAAACCAGTAACAAACCTAAATTAATTTGAATATTATACAGCACAATACAATAGTTACCAAAAATAACATATTTTAAATAATTTATGCACCCACGTATTCATCTAATCAAGAGTAACACAAATACATGGATACATCAAAAACGTTGAATTCACTCAAATTTTCTGACTAACACAAAGGAATACGTATATTGCCTATTAATCTTGAGGTAGATCAACTTGAAGCTTACCCAAATTAAACGACCTGATTTCGGGTACCATGTGAGATACAAATTGAATGGATTTCAGGACCACAGAGACTTCGCGTGAGGGAATTGATTTGGGAGAAATGGGTTTCACGTTTAGGGTTCGGGATATGGGGATGGAGCTTCGTATATGATTTGGGAGTTCTGGGAGGACTTAAGCCTTAACTAGCCAACTCATTTTTCTATCTGCCATGTCCGCATCATTTGAAACGCCATCCACCCAATGAGTAATGGACAGAAACAGAGTAAAGTTTAGTTGCTAATGGGGTAATTTTGGAAGTTCGATGAGTAAACCGTGACAAGGTCATTGAAACATTTAACTCGGGAATTGAGGTAAATGTAAATTATTTTACAATTAATTCCCAACACTGATGTTCAATAAACCTCTTCAAAGATTCAAAACAAGACAACAATTTTATAGTGTAACTTTCACTGCAATTGATGAGATACACATCTCGACGGTATTGCAGATTAATCAACAAGAAAAATAGAACTTGCGTTTTCCAATCATACATAATACCTGCCATGCTGGAAATGCCATTTATGAACCCTAACATCCAGCAAGCAGTAAATGTAATTATCTTTTTTCCTTAAAATCGAAAGGAACGTAAAATTTCCCAGCCCTACATCTGCTGAAAAACTTCATAAAATTCGAACTGATGTTCATACAATCATGCCCCTTAAAAACTCGATCAGTCTGTCCAAATTACAGTATGAAGAACCACCTTCACTGATAGCCTTTTTCCCCAAATTTGCCATACGATTAGCCCTTTGCCAGAACTTATCCCTTCTCTCCACCATTATATCCCTAACCATCTTCTCGATGATCACTCGATCACAAGTATCTTTTATATCCAATCCGAGCTTCCAAACATCACTAACAAACCTACTGTTTATTGTCTGATCTGCAAAATAAGGCCAACAAAGCATAGGCATTCCCCCTGCTACACTCTCCAGAGTCGAATTCCATCCACTATGGGTGAAAAATGCGCAAACCGCTGGATGGGCCAAGACGTCTTCTTGAGGTGCCCATCCCACCATGTAGCCTCTTGCCTTTGTACCTTCATCTAGCTCCACTGGAATCTGACTCTCCTTGTCATTTCCAACAATAGAATCTGGTCTCATTACCCACAAGAACCTCTGCCCACTATTCACTAGCCCATACCAAAACTCCAAGAGCTCGTTTCGAGTTAATATTGTGACGCTTCCAAAGCTCACATAAATCACAGATTTTGCAGGCTGCGAGTCGAGCCAGGTCAGGCAGCTTTTGTCTTCCTCCCAGAAACTGCCCGAAGCACGAGAGGATTCACTTGTTTTCGCTGCCAATCGGGCCTTCAAATGAGTGTGGAGTGGACCGACGGAATACAGATTTGGAATATGTTTCCGAATTTGATCAAGAATTGGTCCTTCCAGATCTTCAAATGTGTTTAGTATGAGTGCTCTAGCTTGAGTGCTTCTTCTAGTCTCTGTTTTGATAGCCTGGAAGCCTGTATCATTAACATCACTCACCCGGCAAAACCCCGGAAGGTCGCGCCGCCGGAGAAATCCCTCCATACCCGGCACACTTGTTACCATTAAATCCATCTCCTTCTTTTTCCAATATGTATATTTATCTTCATCCTTCCCTACACAAATACAGTAGTTAAAAATCAATTCACTATCAACAGGGTAGTTCAATTCATCCAATATACAAATTTACACATTTAATTGGAATAGAATAGTACCTCTTAGAGGCACCTCGCCGGCATCAATAATTTCTTGGATGCAAAAATTGGCCCAGAAGGAGCATGCCCCAACTGTCCTGAAGTAAATATATGGAATTCCCATCTCTTTAAGCACAGGAAGCGAAAAACTCAACACCCCGTCCATGATAACACAAGTAACGGGCCTTCGATCACCGACGTCACTCAGGCGATCGGTGGACTCCATCAGCCTACGAAACTCCGGTTCCCCAGTTTTCCTAAGACTCAACATGATCTCTATGGTTCGCTCGCCGGCGCGGGGGTGGTCTTCTGGGAGGCCATCAGGCATGGTGACAAAGCGAAATCCGGGGTAGCGGGCGAATCGGGACTGGGCATTGGCGTGGAGGACGAGACGGCGGTGGGTGAATTCGGAGAGGAGCATCGTGATGTGGAGTTCGTGGAGGCAGAGAAGCTCCGCGAGCTTGAGCATAGAGTTCACATGGCCTTGCATTGGTAAAGGGAAGATAAGAATATGTGGCGGGAGTTCAGCAGATGTTTCTTGGTGATCCATTTCACTGTTTCGGTTGATTGCGGAAGTTCTTGGCGGCGGACGACGAGTAAACGCTGCAATTATATGGGGGAATTGTCGTTCATATAGTTAGACAGATAGAACGTCACTCTGACGTCAACGGACCTGCAGTTTTTTACTCATCACTCGTTTCTGATACTAATAAGGAACACTCGCGCTGCACGCGGGTTTATAATAAG